ACAATGCTACAAGCCATCAAGCATTAAAGCAACAGCAGCATATTCAAAACTTTCTAAGCTCGGAGCTTCCAGAAGAATTTAACTCACTCGAGGCTGCTGCTGAAAATTGCACACAGTGTAACAGGGTCAGGCAGGAAGAGATCAAGAAACACAAGACAAATTACTTGGAAAAAAGTCCCCCAGAAGTAACCACAGTACAGTAGAAATGGCGAGCTGGCCAAGTGCATTTTAAGGGCTGCGCATTTCCACTGCCACAGCCTCCAGAATGAAAACGGAGTGAATTCATGTTGTATGCGTACCGTCCACTATTTGTTATTGCCTAGCTATTGATGCTTACTTGAAAAATAAAGTTTAATTAAACCCCACAGTACAGCTTAGCCTGCCTTTGAAAGATGCCTGCATTAGTGGATCATTACACTAAATGAAATACAGCTTCATATCATATCTTTCAAGTAGCGTCCTAAAACATTTACAAATTAAATAATACTCTTGCAGAGAGAAATTGAGACACAATGTTTAGCAAGGGCAAAGAGATGTTTACAGATGAAAACTGAAATGAGATGTGGAGGCAATGAGGCAGAGAGGTGCCGGAGGGCTCCTCCAGACCTTGCTGGGAAGGTTCTCCACGTACCAGAAGCCACGCAAAGCAAGCATATGCCAGCGCCAGGCGAGCAGAAAGGGCAGCATCCCCAAGCCCCCAGGAGGCCAGCAGAAGCTCATCCAGCACTTGCCGTGTGCTGGCACAGCTGGACAAGCCCGGAGGTGCCTGAGCTCTTTTGCATTCAGGAGAGACCCAGCAGCAGTACTGCAAGGAGCAGGAAGCCGAGGAGGGAGGAGAGCAACCGCAACAGCAGCGGAAAGGGAAGAAGGGCGTTTTCCCACAAGCTCGTGTCACACAGGTTGATAAGCGTGAAGTCAGAGCGCCAAATAAGCATGAAAATAGTGGTAAAGCAATAGAAGCTCAACTGGAGAATGTTTAACTCAGCTGTGAAGATCAAACCGTGTGCATAGGCTTAATAAAGGGTCCCTTACATCCCTGCCACAAGCAGCCAGCTGTTGTTTCCTAGCAGTGCAGTGAGGCATCTGCTGGTGCTTTCCCATCTCTGGAGGACACGTGGGTCCTGCTCACTCCTCCTCCCAGGTTTCTGGTGCCCACAGGAGGCAAATACACACAGCCCCTGTCCAGAGAAGGATGCCCATTTTCATCAAATATGGGAGAACTCTGCACCTCTGAGAGCTCCTTTGGTGGCCTGAAACTGGCCAGTGCTGAAGAACACACCAGGAGGGAGTGGGAGGAATGGCAGAGAGGAGGTCAGTGTCCCCATGTGCCCTTCAGAAACCAGGCCTGAGGATTCAGACCAATGAAGATACAAACTCTCAACAAACTGAGAAAAGGGATGTAGAAAAGCACTCTTGTGGCAGACAGCACAAGATATACTGTGCTAACATTTACATGGAGGGAAAAAAAAAGGGAGCTTTGGTTTCTTAGGCTGAAAGCACAGACAGGTTAATGAGTCAGCATCAGTCAGAGGAGCAATGTCTGATGTTGAGAGAAGCAAAGCAGCAAGTGAATATTGCATGAGCTTTACAGCTCAGGCTTGAAGAGATCCGAGATTTGTCTTTTCCTTAATAGCATCTGGGGCAACGCCAACTGTTCTTAGACTAACTATTTACTCTGAGAAATAATTTTCTTTAAACAAGGGTAGCCTGAGACTGCATCCTCTTTCACACAAGTCTGGGAAAGGCTGCACCCTGCAGCTCCCATCTCCATGGCAATGCACCAGCTCACACGCAGAAGGAGCCGATGGCAGTACAAATCTCAGCACGAAGGCAAACCTTCCCCAAGAAAAGACTGGGGGTGGCAGAGCCCTCTCCAGTGCCAGCCCGTGAGAAAGGTGGGCTGAAGGAGCCAAGTGTGTGAGATGCTCACTTCTGTGAGAAGCAGAGCATGCCAGCCCGTAAGAAAGAGAAAAGAAAACCCTGTGAGGGCACATCTGGATCTGTCCTTCTACAGGAAGATGACGGAAGATTCACAGCTGCTGCTCCTGCTGGGGATCAACAACCAACAGTCGAATTCCCAGTGGTCCTGCTGACTTATCAGCATGCTGAATGTCTTAGTTAGAGGCAAAAAGTTCAGCCTGCCATATAACCATGAAAGCTGTCAACTTTCCAGCCTATCCTGGGCTTCCTCTGTGGGATCCTTCCCCACTCCTCTCCAACATCACTGCAAAATTAAAACGAGCAGCTGTGGCAAGAAGCAATTCATTATGCGTTGAGCTCCTAAGACACACTGCACAAAGCAAGGATGGGCAAAAACCATCTAAGTGTATGAAGAAGCAGTCCAGGATCCTTCCTAAAGGAAGCATACAGCAGGGGAGGTGAATCAGAGTTGCACAGAAGAACTGGTGCACAGAGCGTCCCTCCTGCACAGAGGACAGTCTCTGCTATGGCCCACACAGGCCCAAGCTGTCGCTGGCAAAGCAGCCAAACCTGCCAACAACACGGCTGTCCCCTACCTGCAGCCGTGCCCCTTCCCTTCCCTCATCAGCAGGGAGTGAGCACTGGTGCACAATCTCCTGCACTCCTCCCAGCCCCCCTTTCCTAACAGCAGTCAGCAGGCAAGCTGGGTCTGGCTTTGTGCTTCTCAGACTGAGTCAAAGCCTCCCTGACACTTAAAAGCAGCACAACCAGCTCACATAAAAGATGAAGACTGCTGAGCCTCCCCCAGCCTTCCCAAGGAGAGATCAATCTGTGTGCACTGCAATCATCAGGCAGCAGGAAAGCAAGGCTAGACTGCAGCACAAAGTTAAAAATGACCGGGCTTCCCATCCACAGCTATTTGAAGAAACCTGCTCATCTACTGCTCACCAGCCCTGCTCTCCACCTCCGACTGCAATGAAAACAAAGTTTTAACACTCAAAGCAGACCATGTTGTTCTTATTTGTTTGAGGAAAGGAAAGGCGTGGAGTGTCTGGTAGGGAGGAGGAGGTGCAGCCCAAACATCTGCAGAAGAGTGCCCGTTTTCTCCTTAAACATTTCATTTGCACTAATTCCCACGTCTGCCTCTCTCAAAGCCATGCCAGGTAATTAGAATCATTATAACTATTATTAGACCATAATATTATTATAGCATTTTTGCTACTCTTGACATCTGTTGGCTGATAGATTTAAGTGGTACATAAGAAATAATTGCACATAGATTTCTTGCAAATGAGCATCAACATAGAAGACATAAAAATGTTCTATGGTGAAAAAGTTAATTTTGTGAAAGCATGCTTGAAATAAAAAAATCTAAAATTAACAGTTAAACCCTTAAAAACTCCCATTAAAGCAACTGTTCTGGTTTTAAATAGGCAGCTGCTTAAAAAAAAAAAAAAACCACAAGGCTTTTCCTTAAGGACACAAAGCTATACACCTGGCTTGGCATCTCTTTCAGATCAACACAAGCACGCACCTTCTTCCCACTTATTCCAGTGACCCACAGGTTTTTATAACACCCATCCATCTTCCTCTTCCCCCTCTGCAGCAGGCCTTTGAATTATTTGGCAGAGATTCTGACTGTGCAGAGAACCAGCGTAAGCAGGTCTCTTATCCACTGAAAATCCTACAGAATTATCAGCAAACCCACATTCAGGACAAAACACAGCTTCTTGCATCACAGGAAGTCCAGAGGGCTTTACAACCTGGACTCAGGTTACCATTTATCAACCACTGAAATTTAGCTGTACCCAGTGTGGAACACAACCTTTTCACAGCTGCAGCACAGCCTCCCTGAGAGAAGTGAGGGAAACTGCAGCAGAAATTGCAGGAATGCTGTAGGGAAGCTGAATTTTCCTCCCTGGGACTATAATTTGGTCAGAGCACTGACATCAGTTGTGGAGCAGTAAAGGAGAACAGGGCACAGCTCTGTTATGCTGATGATGGCCTCGAAGCACTGAGGGAGGTAACAAGGACGGCCTGGTACCTCCGGCTCCAAGCCTTGAGCGGCAGGATAGCTGAAACACAGAGGAACTGGCCTTCAATTTGCTGGGGCCAAGTTTCACCTCCAGCTACACAGATGTGCACAGAAAGATGGTAAATGGATGGAAGTGCATTTCTGAGGAGGATCAGCCTCCCAGTCTTCAAAAAGCTGAAGACAGCAGCTCACCATTGACCAAATTCAGCCATCTGGAGCCAGCCCTGCTTGGACAGTGACGTTCTCCCTAGTTCAATGGATTTCACTGGTTAAAGCAACACCTCTTCCTTAAGCATAGTTCACACTGAGGAGATGACAAGCAAAGCTCTGCTGGAATGAGGTATCCCGCAACTGCTCCCACAGGAAAACACCATTCAGGAATAAAAAAGCTATTATAATTAATTAACCCACAGCAAGCCAGTTTTATTCCAGGGTTGAGCAATCACATGAGGAACTTTCTTGCAACTGCATGAGAGGAAAAATGTATTTTACATACAGACAAGCCTAACTTTCACTATGGACAGATTTACAAAGAAAATACAGCAATGCACTTTAGACACAAATTCCCCAACGTGCATCCCTCTGCAACCAAAGCAGAGAGGTTTCTTCGCTTTGTGTGCTGCTGCTCCAAGGAAGCTTATCTCAGGAGCTGGCCATTTCTTCCCATCCCCACCCTCTGAGCAGCTATAAGACCCGCCATGCAGGAGCTGCCACCAGGCACACAGACCGCACATGGCCCCAGGAAGGAGCACCTGCTCCTTGGCAGCTGTCAGCAGAGGAGCTGGGCTGGGGAACTGAGGATTGCTCTGGGACAGGCTGGGTTTGTGCCATTGAGGAGTTCGACTCGCAAAACACAGCACCTTCAGAAACAGGGCACAATTACAGCTCTACAGAACGGCCCATCGCATCTCCAGCCAGCACACGGCAGTTACAGCAGCCTTTTCCCACATCCACCACTCTTAGGGAACTCAGAAGAATTCAGACTAGGTGAGCCCACCTCCATGAGGCAGAGCACTGAACAGAGAAGGACAACAGAGTGACTCACCCACGCATGCACCCCAGGGGTAGCTATCAGTGATTCCTTGTTTCAAGGGGAGAAAATGTCACGGAGTGGCCCTCAGAGTTTTGTCCAGGTTTGATGCTATTCATCCTTCTCATTCATGGCCTGCACAATGAAAGAGAAAGTACTTTTATAAAAGCTGAAAGGGTGCCCAGCAGTTGAGTGCTTGAAGCACTCTAGAGGTCATGATCGGAATTGATAAACTTGGAGGAAAGTTCCAAAAATACCCACAGATCAATAAAAAGAAAAGCAGTAAAAACAAAGCAAAGAACTACCCTTGAAAACAGCAAAAACAGATCAGATGCACAAATACAGCATGAGGGAAAACTCCAGACAGAGAGAGCTAAAGAAAATCAGGGACTAGACTGAAAATGCAATGTGTCAATGTTGTGGCACCACAGCTCCAAGTGCAAAGAGCTAGAAATCAGTCTCAGATTTAATTGTTTAACATTCATAATTCTCTAAGATCAGAAACAGAATTACTAAGTGCAGCTAACCAGGGGAGTGTAGGGCAGGAAGACTACACTAGATGTTGGTATCACCCTTAGAAAGTCACAAACTACCAGGGCTGGGCCACAACAGGAGCAGTCAGCGGCACAACACGTGCAGCCTGAAGGAAGCTGTCCTGCTGCCCTCCAGACTTGTTATCAGCTCTCAGCACCAACAGCTGCTTACAAGGGCAACAATCAGTTTGGTCTCCCTGTTTGCTGAAGGCAAGACACAGAGCAGGCTGCCAAGGAGAGTCGGGCAGCAGCAGCAGCACATCACAGCTCACCCTGACTGCGAGGGCACAGAACACACAGCTGGGGACGTGGAAGCCACCAGGGCACTGAGCAGTGCCCTGTGACACCTGGTCTGGGCCTCGCTCTGAGCACCTCTTGCTGGCCTCAAGACAGGGGTATAGACAAGGCAGCTTTTCCAGCCCCAAATTTTATTTTAGCATCCTCCATCTGGCCACTCCTACACCACTACAGCAGTGACATTTAAGAGCTAAATTAACAGCCTTCTCTTCCCAAAAATACAATAGAGCTGCTCACACTGCTGAAAGGGCACCCACACAGCAGCACACAGCACAAGCACAGCCGTACCCATTCCAATTCATACCTTTGTTACCTTTCATAAATGGAGCTCTCCAGCTCACCTTGCCACCAAGTCAACCCGTGCCACAGGCTGCGGCCTTTCAGGGTCCTCAACTAGCTCAGCTCAGCTCCCTGTCACTCCAAAGGAATCAGCAGCAATCACTACCAAAAGCATTGCAAGGATCTGATGGCTCCCTGTGTCAAGGTACTTCACAGAGCAGCTGTGCCCCTGCAGCTGACAGTACACACACAGCTGCACCAAACTCAGCACAGCCCTGACCCAGGGCTCCGCCAGCAATCCAGCAAGTGGGGAAGATCTACAAGTCATTCGCAGAATTGGAATGTAACTGCAAGGAACATTTAAGATTCCACAGTAACTCAAAGACTTTTTTTTTTTTCTTGGATCAGAGCTTTGGGAGCACACTGCCTCACGAACCAAAGCCAGAAGATTTGACAAAGCCTTTAACCCACGCTGTCTCTTTCCACATGGCTGTTTCCCAGAGGATCCCATGTTGTGGCATTACACATCTCAGGCGCCAAGAATATCTGTGTGTTAATAATAAATAATAACCAGCTTTATAGGAAGCTTATCAACAAAGTGCTCGACAAATCTTAATTAAAGCTGATTCATCTACTCCAGTAGCGAAAGTTAAATATTATTTCTCAGAGGGGAAACCCTGAGCAGTAACAGAGCTGAGGTGGGTTATGAAAGCCACAGTCAGTAGCGGAGAGGATCAGCACACAGAAGGGCTGACTGTAATCTCTAAATTTATTGCAATAACCCACTGCCTTGCATACTCTCAAGGTAGAGTTGATACGTTTCAGTCACATCTGCAGAGCTTGACCACATCAGTATTTTATCAGTCCTCCACATCCTTGCAAGGTAAGAACAGAGAAAGGAAGAGCTCAGGGGCCACAGAAAGCTTGTGAAGCGTTTTGTTGCTCATGCTAAATAAATTCTCAACAGAGAGAAAGGAGATGGCAGTGGCAGAACCAAACCAGCTTCTTCCAGGGCGTGGGGACCGCTCTGTAGGCCAAGGGCAGTGCTGACGACTCAGCAGGAATCACCTGTTTCCAGCTAATTTATCTAACAGGAAAATATTTGCGTCCCTTCAAGTCTGCAAACACGCAGCCGTGCAAAAGGAACCTGCAGACACCGTTCTTACCTCCATCAGCTGCACTCCTACCACAGAGTGCTTGGCAGAGGTCTCTGGGACAATATTTAGGATGCTTCCACCACAGCATCGCCTTGCAGGTGGCTCAGAACACAAGCCAGCCTGGCATCGTAAAGGCTGAGGAAAGAGAAAGCACAAAGCCTAGCCCTTGCTAACACTACCCCCAGAGCAGAGATGGACCCACAGCGAGCAGCAGGGCTGCAGCAGTGCTGGGGCAGATGACAGAGCACCACCCGCTCCTCGCACTCAGCTTAACCACAGCTGGGTGATTAAACTGATTAACTGTCTGCTCCCGGGCCGGCTGTAAGGCAGGCCCAGCCATGACAGCTCGTCACACGTGCCTGAAGCTGAGCGGCAGCGCCCCAAGCAGTGCGCACACAAGGAGCCCCGCACGAACAGCCCGCGTAACTTCCACACGAGTGCAGATCCGCAAGCAGCCCCGCAGCTCGCTGTGCTCGGTGCGAAACCTCCCGAGCAGAGCCCGTGTGCTCGGACAGCGGAACCCCGCCGCCATGAGGGCACGAGGGCTGCGGCCGCAACCCAGCTCTCCCACAGCGCTCTGCGTGGCCTTTTTTCGGCTGCTTCCACAGAACGAGAGGCCGGGGGGCCACCTTCATCCGTCACGCTCCTTTACAGAACCGCAGAGCCGGCCCTCGTGGCCTTGGAGCGGAACGAATCCACTCACGGGACAGCCGAACCCCACGGGACGGCCCTTATAGACCACGCGCCCCCCCACTCACCGCTCCGCAATGCGCACGCTCCGCCAGGCCGAGGGCGGGAACACGGCTGAGGGGCGGCTGCGCTGTGGAGATTCCGCCTCCCGTCCTCCGTTTGCGCCCGGTGGGAGTGTGCTGCGTCCAGAGATGTTCTTCACTCCTGTTGAAGTCACATAAGCAGCAGAAGTCAGGGAAAGAGGCAGATTTGCTCCTCGATCGTCACTTCCTTGCAGCGTGGCTGGGGAACGCAGCACTGCCCGGGGGCCCGCGCATCCCCACTCCTGCCAGGAGAGTGAGAAGGGCTAAAAGAGCACTGCAAGAACTCCCCAGGGGCTGCTGGTTTCAGCGAGTGGCTGGAATCTCTGTCTCCCCCGTGCTGGGCTGTTAGAGAAAGTGACGAGCAGACGAGCACGCCTCCATGACCTGCCGTGGGTCTGCCCTGTGCCGTGGGTCTGCCCCTGCACTCCTCATCCGTGTTGAGGTAGATGGCAAGGCAGAATGAAGGGTGTTAATCTCAGGCTCAGCACCTGGCATCCACCCATAGGAAGGCGGGAGGTCACTGAGGGCACGGTGTAATGGAGGAGAGAGCTGCAAGCTGTGCCCATCAGCAACCAGCTTCACACACGGGTGTTGTTACCCCTCAGCCATCAGCAGTGCTGACAGCTCTGGCAGGCACAGCACCAAGTGCTGCCACAGGTGAGAATTCAGTCCTCCTCACACCTCATGTGTTCTGTGTGCCTCCAGGAGCAAGTGATTGATTGTAGGAAAGTCTCGGCGTTAGTTCAAAGTAAATGAAATATTTTCAATCTTTCCAGGTTGGATGTAAACACCTCAGATTTAGAATCGAAGCCCACTAAGCCTATCCAAAGTGCCTCACAGATTTATTGGGTTTCAGTGCCATGATTTTTCAGGTACATGATGGGTTTTTTTTGGCCAGGTGTGTGATTTTTGGCAAGGCACAGCTCCTGGTGCCTGAATGCACAGAGCTGAAGTGCCAGGCGCTGCAGCCCTTTCCCCCATCCCCTGCTCCACCAAGCAGTGCTGCCTCCAGCTCTGGGCAGTACCTGACCCCTCTGTGCCGAAGCCCTTCCGCAGACTCTGGCTGGGAGTCCCAGAACCAGGGATAAGCCAGAGTGACAGCAGGGGCATCTCCTCTCCAGAAGGATAGAGGGTTGCAAACTGCTTTGGCTACTGACCCTTTTTCTGATGACTGCTAGGAGCACTCTGTCCTGATGTGGAGGTGTGACGTGGGGTTCATCTGTCCCTCCAGCACAGCCCAAGGGAATGCTGTGCTCCATCCTCGGGCAGCAAAGAACCTTGGCCGCAGGTTGTAATTGCTCTGTTGCAGATAGTAGATAAAAAATAAGATTCAGGCAGCGGGTGTTGGAGGAACACCAGCAGGAGGCAAAGAGCTTCTTTGCTTAAGCTCCACCCCAGGTCTCCTGTTTATTGGGGTTTTATTGGAAATCTTTTGCAGCATTGAGAATGAAGTCCTCCTCCTCCCCTGAAAGACAGATCTGGCCTAAAACATGAATCCCAACATCCCCCAGCTTTCAGGGAAGGGAGAGCTACAGTGACTGCTGCCTTGGAGGTGACTGAAGCTGAGCTGGGCTGTGGGCTTGGCCCCTATGGGAGGAGCTGAGCCATGATGGTAGAGCAGAATTGAACCGTCTGGGGCATTCCCATGGCTGCTGCAGACCTACAGCCTCTTCTGGGCGCTTGGGAGCTGCAGTGAAAGGTGGGAGCCTGTGCCATTGATCTCAGTGGGAACGGCATCAGATGCCAGCCCCAGGCAGCCTGCGAAGTCTCACTCAGATGCTTGGTCCAGAGAGAAGTGTGCTGCATCCGCGGGCAACACCAGCCTAATCCCCTCCTCTGAAATCACTCACACATCAAAGAGATTGAAAAAACACGCTCTGCATGCATTATCTTTTGCATTTCAAGACTGAGTTCTTCAACAATGCCTGTTTGATCTGATAGGATAGAGGATTCTTCCAAAAGATGGGTGTAAGAGAATAATTTGGGGCTGGGAATAATTTTTTATCAATGTACTTAAAGGCAATCACAGCGCTAGGAGGGAGGCCTAATTGTGGAGTTGTGTAATTAGCTTTTATGTCACTGCAATTATTCTGTTGGCTACATATAAAGAACATGGCAAAATGCGACACTTAATTTTAAATCGGGACTTGATTCTCTTTTAGTAGGTAATTGATGTTGATCACATCACTTAGCAGTGACTATAAAATGCACTATTTAGATTGTAAGAGGATGGAGAAAAGGACCAAGCAGATAGGTAATTGATGGATCACGGACTGCGCTGGTGGGAGGCAGCATTAATCCATCAGGCTTCAGCTCTATCTGGACACTGTTACTGGCCCAGAGCGCTAACGAACACAGAGCCACTGCTCCTGCAGCCCGAAGCATCGCACACTGCAGTGAGCAGCCACTCTGCCCCCAGATGCTGGTGTTAGCCGATGAATTTGCACTTAATGCAATTGATTGCTTGTGTTTAAACACTTTCTTCTAAAGGCAGGCTTTGTTTTCTGCTGCTCGGCTTCAAGCGCATGCTAGGATTTTGCTCCAGTGAATCCAATAAAAGAGAAGCTGAATCGGTAAAAGTTTTCCTTGCCTTTGCCACTGACCATAATGTCTGATTTCTGCAAGCAGTTTCACTGATGAGGTGAGGGCAGGCACGATGCTCTCACGCTGTGCTGGAGCAGAGCCAGCAGGCACAGCTTTGGGGCCGTCCCACAACCGGGGCTGGAGGCGAGGACAGCGCTGAGGGACAAAGGGTAACTGGGGTCACCTGGTCACAGATTCCTTCAGTGGAAGGCATGTGGGTTTTTTACTCAGGACTGCTGTGTGCTCTGCTGGAGCCACTCTCCTATTGACTCCCTTATTTCTAAAAAGCAATCCAGGAGGATTTTTTTTTTTCTAAAACAAAGCCAAGACCATAAGCTGCACCATGCACTCACCAGAAGCACAGCGCCCAGTGAGCACACCGAACATTTAAGGAGGGATAATGGCTGTGCAGTAATGGCTTGGTGTTTGGGCAAGATTTCACGCTCAGCCTGTGTGGAGCTCAGCACTCGCAGCCGTTTCCCAAACTGACACGTGGGTAGTGGTGTTGGGGTGTCCTGGCACTGCAGACAAGCAGTCCCCAGGGCTGAGGCTGGAGAGGAGAACCATGCAGCATGAAGTGATGAAGTGTTGTCCTGCTGGACAATGAGCAAACTCAGCAGGATGAAGACATCTTCTGCTGAGTTTCCAGATGTCAGGACTGGGCTTTGCATTCTACAAAAGAGGTGGCTTTGTTGCCCCAAAGGTTAGAACCTTTTCTCCCCTCCTTCCCTCATCCTCTTGTCTCTTGCCGTGGTTCCTAAATAAATAAATAAAAATTAAGTTCAGGTTCCACCAGTGTAACTGTGTGAAGAGCTGCAGCTCTGGCACGGAGCTCGGGTAATAGCCATGGCCAGTTAGTTTCTACACTGAGATGATGAAATACAACTTTACAACACAAGTAGTGAGTTGTGACCCAGCCTGAGTGCGGTGCAGGCTGTTTCTGTAGTGCAGATGGATCTGCAAAGGACAGACCAGAGCGGATGGCATCACAGCTGCAGGGCTGCCCCGCATCCTTTTGAAATGCTGTTTCTCACCCACGTTGCATGTTTTATTCCTATTTTTCCCCTCCCCTGGGCACAATGTTCCCACATGCCTGAGTCTCCTTCTTCCTCCTGTCTTGTACTGGAGCTGAGGCCAATGTTGCCTCCCAGAGCTGCCAATTAGAGATTTTGGAGGCTACATCTCTGCTCTCACTGCTGGGACCCGGCAGCTTCTGCAGGACCAGTTCTGCCATTTCAGCATTGCCCTCTCCAAATCACTGATAATCAGCCAAGCCTTGCCTGCAGTCTCCAATCCCCTCCAGCCCAAGTGCTATTCTGCTTGCCATCAAAAAAAATCCATCTTGCCTGCAGCTGGTGGGTGAATGGGGCTTTGCTGTCAATCGCTTGAAGGCTCTGGAGTGGTAAATGGGACACGATGAGCTGAGAGACCATCCCTGCTCTTGGGGAAGCTGTGCCAGCAGGGCCAGTGCTGGAGATGAAGCATGAAGGTTTGCAGGCAAGCTGATGCAGAGCCCGGGGCTGCGATCCCAGCAAGTGTCAGCCTGTGACACTGCTTCTCCCACTCGGGTGCATCTGTGGGACGGCTCAGCCCTGCGGCTGCAGCAGGGCCCGGGTTATTCCCAGGGCCCCACGGCTGCAGACGACCCCAGCATTCCACCACAAGTTGTGGCAATGTCATTCATCGCACCAGAGCGGTTTGTTACACACAGGCTTTCCACTGGACTTCTGGGATTCCCTCACTTGCTTCCATTTTATATTGGGTTTTGATTAAATTAGATACAGCTGCGAAGGCGATCAATTCAAAGCCCATTTCCTATGAAGTCACACATGATTTATAAGCGGAAAGGAGAATAAAGCATGGAACAAGAGCAAAGGGACCTGGGTGGTGCATAACTGGTGCAAAGGAATCATAAAGTTTTTGTGGCTGCCAGCTCTACTGCAACAGGTCTGGGGCTGCAGGCTGCAGCTTGGCTGCATCAGTCCATGGCCATGCCCAGTGCTGCGACCTCCTCATCCCCACAGCTGGACATCTCTGGGCCACAGCGCACACTGGTTTGGGAGTAAACACTAGAATAATTAATAGAACGCTTCCCATTAGGTGGAAACAAGGAGACTTTAAACTTCAGCAGTTCTGCATGCTTAAGGGAGAGAACTGTTATGAGAAGTTATCCCCTGCAAAAATGGACTTAAAATTATCACTTCTCACCAACACCTAGTGCTGGATGCACTGAAGAGATTCAGCACAGCGTTTGCAACTCCTTTCCATCACACTGCATGCAAGAGACCCCAAAGCTTGTCACCTGCGGATATTTACTTTGTGTCAATACCTACATTCTGCTGCTGCTCAATGGATGGTTTTTCACCCTGTCAAATTTTAGGTACAAATGGTTACCAAACCCACACTGTGTTTCAGTAGCACTGTCTAACAAAAGAACACCAGGAAAGCCCATCAGTTGTGCCAGACAGTTCCTAGGAGCCCATATGGTGCCATGTAAAAGCAAATCAGTGCAGCCCCTGAGACAGCTCACAAGGGCTGAGTTAAGGTGATGCTGAGTTAAGGTGATCCTTAATATCTCGGTTCGGGACTTCAG